GAGCGGCGGGCGCCCTAATGGCCAGCCTGGGCTATGTGAGACCTTGTCTCCAAAAACAAAAATACAAGCAAACAAACAAAAATCTATTTTATTTCCCATTTTGAAAAAAATTGAAGGCTCATATATGAAAACATAATTTATTTTCTCACCCAGACTTTTGTAGTTTACTTTTACAAAATAGCAGACAAAATTTGGTTCTTTGCATTAACACAGAATATGTAATACATATTGAAATATATATAGCACTTAAGTTATAAACACACAGCAAATCCAGTATCAGAACAGCCACCACTTTTCTCATACAATTAGGATCTCATGGGGAGATAAACATTGTTTTTGGCTTAAATATATAAATAGTCTTTGATGCTTTTTGTATTTACAAAAGCTAGTCTAAAAACTATCACCACCTACAAAAGTGATGAGCTTTAGAATACAGTTTTGCTCTCATGCCATAATAAGATTTAAAATTCTAGAAAGCCATAAAAAGCTAGTCACATCCGTGCAATTGCGGTTGGTCTACTTCATTGTGGTTTTAGGGTGTACTCTAAGGGAGTCCAAAAGCGTTGCTTCTGGATCTGCATCAGTGGATTCTTTAGGGTCTATTTTGTGTTCTGGGTTAGAGTTATACCCACCAGTTGCCTAACTGTGATAGAGGGATGCTGCATAGGGGCTCTCTTCATCTCTGAAAAAGAGAAACAGAGCAGAAATCAGTGTTTAAAACTATTCAGAAACCTAAACATACTGAGTAACTTGTCAAAGAAGAACAGAAGTACGCCAACAGACTACTGTTCGTGCCCTGGAAGTCATATGAAAGGCAGTACTTATTAGGGTCTGCCTTATTAGCTCCATCTTACTGGAGTCTCAGTTACTGGAATAACTGGAATAACTAATAGTATTTGTACACATGGCTGGAGACATCATAAGTCCTAGAGAAAATCCTACTTCTGTCACATCCCTAGACAAATGTAATTTCTTACTGTATGCTAAATGTCCTTTTTTTTTTTTTTGGTCTTTTTTGAGACAGGGTCTCCCTGTGGCCCCAGATGGCCTAGAACTCACTATGTAGACCAGGCTGGCCTCAAATTCACAGAGATCTGCCTGCCTCTGCCTCCCAAGTAAGTGTTGGGATTAAAGGAAATCACCACTGCAACTCACAAATATCTATCCTTATATTTATAGAAAAGTATATCTGTCACCATTCATCAAAGAAGCTTCTTTTTGCCACAGCTAGAGACTATTATAGAGTTCTACAACTGGTCAAACAAAGAAGTGTCTGTGAGATGCTCAGCTCTAAGGGACACATCCACAATGGACCCTCTAAGGCTCATGGAACATAGTGAACAGGGGGTAGAGAAAATACTAATGCATCTTTCAGCTCTCACCAGCGAAGCTTCTTCATGCAACAGAGGGCCACAACTAGCCAAAGTGTAGAGAATAAGAGTCTGTAGAGTGTGTGTCCCTGGATAGGACTCCTATATTAAACCTCAACCACCCAGGTCTCAGGTACCATTGCAAAAGAGGAGGTGGAAAGATTTTAAGAGTCAGAGGTGGTGGATGACCACAAGGAAACAGTTTTCCAGGTTTCTGGGAACTTGCTCATAAGAACTCACAGCAATAGTGACAGCATACACAAGACCCATGCAAACTCAACCCAGGAAAAAACCCAGCACAGAACTGGGAAAATGGGTAAGAAATCCCAACCATAGCTGAGGTACTACTGGCAGCTGATCAAGGTTGGGTGAGGGAGAGTTGATCTTCTTTAATGGAGTGACACTAAATAAGCTGACCAGGCTCCAGTGGATGAACTCACAGGAAGGGACATCCAGGGACACAAACTTGACTCGATAACCCTTATGACAGAATACATGAAATCTGATGGGCAAGATACGGGGTTACAGATAAGGGGGGATCTAAATATGATTAAGATGTATTGTATGAAATGCACAAAAATTTAATAAAAATATATTAAAAAAATAAAACTCACAACAAAAAAATGAAAGTTAGGCTGTAACACCAACACAAACAGCAGTATTTATATAATATTTAACTATATTAATTTTATACTAAATTACATTTATACTTGTTTTGTTGTCTGTTTTCCTCTTCTTCCTCAAAAGGATTTGAAATCCAGGAATGGTGGCTTATGCCTACAATCCCAACAGTTCGGAGGCTGAAACAGGAGAATTGCTATGAGGTTGAGGCTAGCCTGGGTTATTGAGTAAGATACTGACTCAAAAAATGAATGAAATTTATGCCAGGCATGGTGGCACACCTTTAATCCCAGCCCTCAGCAGACAGAGGCAGGTGGATCTCTGTGACGCTACCCTGGTTCACATCATGACTTCCAGGGAGGGCTGGGCCTAGGGAGACCCTGTCAAAAAAACAATTAGCAACAAAAATAAATAAATTAAAATAAAAAATAAAATAAAAAGGATTTGAGGTACCTACCTATATGGCTTACATATAATAAGATGAATAAAATAGAAATCTAAAAAATGAGAACTAAGAAGCCAATATATTAACCATAAGTAATATAGCAATAGACATCAATTTTAGTTACAAGCTTCCTAGCAGCAAATGAGAAAAAGGAAAGAATGGGCTATATGCCTTCATAGACTCATAAAGGGCACCCATCTTCTAGGAGATAGAAAGGTTTGTCTGAAAACCACATTTTAAAAGGCTCATAAAGGGGCTGGAGAGATGGTCCAGTGATTAAGAGCACTGGTTGCTCTTGCAGAATACCCAGGTTTGATTCTCAGCACCCACATGGCAGCTAAAGACTGTCAGTTGGAACTACAGTTTCAAGAAAATCCAACACCCTCTTCTGACCTCCTCAGACATTGCACAGCACAAGTGCACTTACACACATGCAGGCAATAGACTCATACATATAAAATAAAAATAATAAATTATTTTTTAAAAGCTCACAAGAAATCTTATATAGGAAATGCTGGTAACACACATGGGCAATGTCTTTGACAAGTGTTTTTGCTCAGTATTTTACACGTCTTCTCTAGGATACTGCTTCCCTTGAAGGTGTCAGAGATTCTTCTATCTGGCTGCTTCCTAGAAGTGCTAGCTGGACAGTGACACTTACCTATGCAAAGAAGAAAACTTTTTATACTAAGTAACAGAGACAGAGGCAAGACAACAAAGTCTCCTGTAACAGGCAATAGTTCTATTTAGATTTCATATAGTAAAGATGTCTAAGCATGAGGACCTGAGTTCAATCCCCAGAACCTACGTAACAAAGTCTGACATGGTGGCACACTTAATAATCCCAAGGAGCAAGAGACAGGTAGATCGCTGGGGATCACTGGCTGGCCAGCCTAGACTACTTGCTGAGTGCCAAAAGATCCAATCTCAAAAAACAAGGTAGAGAGTGTCCTGAGGAACAACACCCAAGGTTGATCTGACCTCCACACTCATGTGTACACACATGTACCTGTACACACACACACACACACACACACACACACACACACACACCTTTCTAGTATTAAGATAGTTCATCCTGACCCCTATACCAGGAATCTTTACCTGCTTTCTTCTTTGAGTTTCCTGGCTGCCTGTGTTGATAACTTAATCTGTAAGTCAAGTCTCTGCAGGAAATCTCTGGCAGATACTTCCTCAGGCTGCGCAGGCTCAGCATCTAGTTGAGGACTAGAAGGAGGGAGGTCTTCCCCAGCCATCATAGGCTCCTCTTCATGACAAAAACTGACATCAACAGTTTCCTTTTCTGGAGAATCAATGGAGTTAAGTCCATTAAACAACAAAGGCTTCTCTGATATAATTGGGATACTCAAAGTTTTCTTCAGAAATATGCAGTCATTGGTAAACAGTTTATTGGCCCTTTTAATCTGTTCCATCTAAAACATAAAAAGAAGAAAACACAAAGTTATATACAATCGAGTACAAGAGTGGGGGTTATTAAACATCATGGAACTAAAATATTCATGAGCAAATGTGTGTGATGCTTTCTCTGGATTCAAGAGTCTTCGCCTCTGTAGATATCTCCCACTATTTTCAAGAGATGATGTGAAAGTCTGTTCTCCAGTTTCAAAGGCAGCACTCATTTCCTCCTATTTAGGCAGTTTGGCAGTTTCTGTGTGTGTGTGTTTGCTTTTGTTTTTTTGTTTTGTTTTGGTCTTTTTGAGACAGGGCCTCCCTGTAGCCCCAGCTGGCCTGGAACTCCTCACTAAGTAGACCAGGTTGGCCTTGACTCACAGAGATCCGCCTGCCTCTGCCTCCTGAGGGCCAGGATTAAAGGCTTGTGCCACCACCCGTGGTTTAGGCAGGTTTGTTTTTGTTTTGTTTTTTCTGTTTTCTTGTTTTTTCCAGGCTGGCCTTGAACACACTGTGTAGGATGTGAGTTTGAACTTCTCATCCTTCTGTCTACACCTCCCCAGTGCTGGGACTGTGAATGTACATCATCACACCTGCTTTATGTGGTGCTGGATCACAACTAGGGCTTTATGCTTACTAAGTACTCTACCAACTGAGCTATACTTCTGTCCTATATAGGAAGCTTTTAACATATATTGTTTACTCCATAAGGCAGCCTTTACTATCAGTGGTCCAAAACCATTGAAGTATAAAAGTGTAGACTTTTTATCATTTATTTAATACATTTCATTCTTACTTGAACATTTCTGTTCTCTGACCTTAAAAAAAAAACTTACTATTGTTACAGCTTTACTTGCAGAGGGCTCCCTATATGCCTGGAATTGTGCTTGGTAATAATAGATCCAGGAGGTGGTAGAGGCGTGAGGATGAACAGAATGTGAAGGAATGGTATAACCTGGCACAGTTGTTGAAGAGGTTCTCCCAGAGAAGGTGGGGTTCTGATTTTGAATCTTTTGAATTCAACTGGGCCTTGAAGAATCGGTATCTGAGGACTAGGTTAGGAAAGGAGTCAGGGGATATTGTACATACAGTATGTCACTTTTTTATACTACAGAGTGTGAAGATTCACTTTATAAATAAAAGTTGCTGGGTGTGGTGGTGCTCGCCTTTAGTACCAGCACTTGGGAGGCAGAGGCAGGCAGATCTTTGTGAGTTTGAGGCCAGCCTGGTCTACATAGCAAGTTCAGGCTAGCCAGGGCTATATAGTGAGACCCTGTCTCAAACAAACAAAAAAAATTTTTTTATCAATATTATGTGCATACAAATGTCAGATAAAGAACTAAACAGGGTTTTTTTTTTATAACCTCCAACTCTTCCAAGGCGTGTGGGGGCCTCCCCCAAAATCTCAGAGGTGGGGAAGCAGGTGGGGAGAACAGAACTTGCATATCTCTCTCAACCCTCATAACTGTTCCATAATCTTTTACAAATGAGGATATGGGAGAGAGTTAGTGGCCCAAGCTCACAATGCTGGTCAGCACAGAGGTCACACAGGTTGGCTCTGAGCTTGATAGAGAAACATCTCTTGCTATGCCCCTTACTGTATTACCATGTGGCTACATTTCCCAAGGCTAGTCAGGGAACTTGCACCAGGCTAGGCACTCTATACCCTTTATAGGATTTCATTTTTACAACTGTTTTTGGTGAAGTACGTAAGTCAAAAAGTTTGGCAAGATGGCTAAAAGCACTTAGGCTTGGGAATCTGATAGGCCTGGTTCAAATCCCTCTCTGCCAACCTGAACTGTATGAACATATGTATCTGTGACTAATTTCATAGAGCCTGCAAACCAGGCATCATCTACCCATTGCAGGAGTGTTGCAAAGATTAAATGAAGAAAGAGAGAGATAAATGGAAAATAGTGTCACCTACTGCTAGACATTCTACTAACATGCATGCACACATGTATGTATGTGTCTATCTCCCATCCATCTAACCCATCCATTCATACACGAAGACACCAGGGCACAGAAATGATTGATTTGAACAAGTGCATACAGTTCTTTAAATGTTTTACCTTGGATTTCTGCCCAACTCTGAAATCCATACAATATCTGATTAAAATGCATGATTAATGCAATCAAATTTTAGAAGCCTTTAAATTGATTCTAAGTGAAAATTGCATTTCTACTTCAAAGAGCCTGAAGAAACAACAGTCAAATAAATGGACCCTGTTCCTCTTACTTTTTTGTTTTATTTTATGAATGGGTCTTGCTATGTGGCCCCAGCTGTCCTCAAATTCACAGTAATTCTCAACCCTAAGTCTCCTGAGTGCTGGGATTATTTATAAGCATGTGCCAACATACCAGCTCTTCCTGCTTTCTTATGATAAGCAGAAACCATGCCAATAGTAACATAAATCTCTCTCTCTCTCTCTCTCTCTCTCTCTCTCTCTCTCTCTCTCGTTTTGAGACAGGGTCTCATTATGTACCTGTGGCTGGCCTCAAACATTATGTACCTGTGGCTGGCCTCAAACTTGCTATGTAGACCAGGATGGCCTTGAACACACAGAGATCTGCCTGCCTCTTCCTCCTGAGTGCTGGGATTAAAGATATGAACCATCAAGCCCCACTTTTTCTTTTTTTGTTTCAAAAAAAAAAAAATCCTACAAAAGTCAAGCATGGTGACGCATGCATTTAATTCCAGCACTTGGGAGGCAGAGGCAGGTGGATCTCTGTGAGTTCAAGGCCAGCCTGGTCTACATAGCAAGGTGTTCCAGGCCAGCTGGGGCTACAGGGAGACCCTGTTTCAAACAGACAAAAAAAATCCTACAAAAAGAGAAGAGAACCAGTTTCTGGTTTAGAAGGGCTGGCAAGGACAAGAAAGAGAGACCGTAACAGGCAGGGGGGTTTTGGAGATAAAATTTAAATCTAAATATTCCAAGTATCTCTGGTTGGCATTATGTTTAGATTTAAGAAAATTTAGTAGCTCGAAAGCTTTTCCCATGGCAGACTGAGGTATAGTCCAGTCTGCCTTCTGTACCCACTTCTGCTCTCTAATGTCCAGGTCCTCCCATCTCTCTTGGTGTACAAGCTTCCACAAGCACCACGTCCTTGAGAGCTACAGGGAGAGCGCATGACTCATCCTGCCTCTGCAGCATCACAGTTCTCTGGCTTCATGACACATTCCATTTCTATCCTAGAGCCATTCAGACAAGCACAGAGACATTTGCTGGGTCTGTTATCTTTCCTATGGAAGAAGATGGGCTGGAGCTGCTGACAGTCATCCTGCTGCTGACCTGGGACTGAAGTCACTTTGCAGGACATCATGTGGACCTCTGGATCATAGCCTGAAGCCAGGACATACTCTGACTTTTCAGTTCCATGCGTGAAAATAAACCCTATTTTGGATTTGGCTTGATTTTGGAGGTGTTTTTTCTTAGGCCAATTTGAGTTAAATATTCCGCTCCCTCTAACTGAACTAGCCCTTATTGGAAAAGGCATAGAATTCTAGTAGTCAGTGCTCTCTGGGAAAAATGATGAAGGGCAGAAACAGTGTGACATTAAAATGTTACTTGCCCAACAGACATGAAACAGCAAGAGAATGTGTGGACTCTTCAGGGCAAGAATTGTTCATTGAAGGAATGGAGAGATGGTTCAGCAGTTAAGAGCAATGGCTGCTCTTACAGAGGACTCAGGGACTCAGGTTCGAGTACCAGCACCCACATAGTGGCTAATAACCATTTGTAACTCCAGTTCCAGGGGATCTGATGGCCTCTTCCAACCTCCTCAGGCATTGCACGACACAGGTGCACTTATACACTTGCAGGGAATACACTCATACACATTTTTAAAAGATTTTTAAAATTCTTTTCTTTCTTTTTTCGGTTACTTTATGATTGCCTGTGTGTGGGCACATGGAGGCCTGAAGTTGACACAACTGTCTTCCTCGATGGCTCTCTGCTTTCATTTACTGTGGCAAGGTCTCTTACACACTAGTTTTGCCTCCCAAGTGCTGAGATTGCAGAGGGCTGCCCTGCCAACTCAAGCTCTATGTGGGTGCTAGAGATCTGAATTCCAGACCTTGTGATTGCTATAGATACTTCATCTGCTGAGCCATCACCCCAGGATGAGAATTCTTATTTTTCTTTCTTTCATCCTCTCTCTTCTCTCTTCTCTCTCTCTTTCTCTCTCTCTCTCTCTCTCTCTCTCTCTCTCTCTCCTCTCTCCTCTCTCCTTTCTTTCTCTCTCTCTTGTAGACTGTTACCCCATAGCTAAGTCTGTGGCTGGCCTGGAACTGGCCAAACTTGCCAAACTTGTGATCCTCCTCCATTTCTGAAGTGCCACAATTACAGATGTGGAACACCAAATACAACTCAGAATTGTTATTTTGACAGCCTCTTTATATACTGTGAAAACATAGGCTGGTGATGAGGTGATGGATGGATAGTGGATGATGGATGGATGGATGGACAGACTGATGATGGATGACTGATCAGTGGGTGGATGGGTGGATGGATGGACAGATGACAGATGGTTGGGATGATGGGTGGATGGACAGATAAACAGATGAAGGCATAGACAGGCACAGAAAAAGAACATGGAGAAGAAAAATGGATAGTAAGTAATCTGTCATGCCAATTACTCCAGTTTTAAGCTTACCTCATCTCTCAATCCATTTCTAACCTTCCCTGAGCCTATTTTGAATCTGAGGAGGGCTGACTTTTTAAGTACTGAACTTCCCAAGCCCCAAGTCTTGAAATTCTATCTGGTTGTCTAAGAAAGGCACCAGGTGGGGGCATTCTTCCATGACCAGAGTTCCCATCTGACAGACCCTTGTACACTTGGCCCTTCTGGCCCAGGGCCGAGGCTTCCCTCTGCTGCCAGCCTTCAGATTCTTCTCCATCTTTTCCTGGATCTCTTTACCCTGCTCACACTCTCTATATAAATCCTTTCTGCCATACCCTCTGAGAATGCAGTCTATCCTGCCTGACTGACATCTACAACATAGCACAAGACAGATGATACT